CCTTGGCCGCCGTGAGGGCGGGTGGGAACGTGGTCGAAGACGCGTCTGCTGTTAGCACCCGTTGGCGTAGGCTCCTGATAAATCGGCTGATAGCCGGTAGTCAGCCCGAAAGGACTTGATAGGATCGACTCGGTGAAGCTTTATCGACAAGGTGTGCCAGAACTGAACTGAATATGGATCTCGTTTCACCTTTACTTAGCCAGGTCGGTACGCGCTCACGCGCCCTCTTTTACAGGCACCTCGTTGTTCGACCAATGTATCCTGCTGCACAGGAGCAGGTGAAAGAGTAAATGCACATCGATGTAACTTTCAACGACTAGTTTTAATCATAAGACGCTTATTAACCCCGTCCAACGCTAATATTTAATTATCCATTCAATTGTACTGGCTCGATGATAAATTGCCGAATAAACATGTTTGCCAAATAGGCTTTTCAAATTGTTTAGGGGTCAGACGTCAACTCGGGACCGAAGCTCCGGTTGGAGAACTCTAGTGAAACACGTTTGCTGATGACTCTAGAAGCATAAATCACGGAATAGATGGGGCGCAAATTTCAACTCCTACAGGAATAAATACCACAAGGAGACAGGATTAGCTGCGATATTTCGCCGCCAATAGACAGAAAATCATGAGTTAACAACTGTGCAATGGATCGCCAAGCCAAGAGTCGGCTTTTCCAGGGACCACTTATCCACATCCGTTCAACAAACTAAAACCAAGGTTAAATAAGTACATTTCTGGAAACCAATGAAGTGTTTTACTGGGAGGAATAAAGACTTACGGTATGGCAGTCAAAGAAGTTGGAGGGATTGATTCAGGTTCGATCTCCAGGTACCGGGTGAAATAACTAAGGATTCCGTTGAGATCACGTTCATAAATTCTGAAATGGATTCAAATGATAATCTAGTTAAAGCTTCCTTATATAGTGTCCGTGCAAGTAGAGTGAAAAATAGCTTATAGACAGCACACCTGCCGGACCAGCATTTTAAGACTCATCGCGTGGACGTCAGACCTTGCAACAGTGTTATTATGAATTCGCAAAATATTATTTATCTCATTGAGTCTTCGTAGACGGTCAAAAGGATTCTCAATAAAGTGCCCGGGTGACACTGCATATACGCGGAGCCGTGACCCCGCCTAAGCTATTTCTTCCAGTTGCAAGTACATGCACGGATATCAGGTGGTTTATTAGTGCAAGCGCGTAGCGGATATGTAGTGGTTTCACCGATGTCATGGTACCACAAAAGAGTGCGATAGGCGGGAAGACCGTCAGTAATCGTCAGCTAAGTGATTCCACCACATTTGCCTATGGAGCCAATAAAGACATCAATTCCGAGAAATACAGCCGCGAGCGAGACTTCGTGCATCTTAAAGTAACGAGTGGCAGAGATACTGGAGACGGCAACCATTTCATGAATCACCCGAAGGAGTACCGGTCGACTACAGAGTTTCAAATTCAAGATACAGTTTTGTTAACCCACCGGAGGCTCAACTAGGAGAACAATTGACAAAATGTGTACATGGACAACTGACCCGAATCTTAACTCCCAGAGTTTTCAAACCTGGGTTTGGAGTTCGGCTGACTGGCTGAGGACGCAATTAAGTGAGAGATTTGCGCATTAATTTCTCTTGCCTTTCTGTATACAGGTTTTTTCGGGACGTCCAAGGTCCGAGATACGGCAGTAGTCTATCAGGAAGTTTTCGTGGAAAACATTGTCGGGCGCCTGATAATAGGGCTGGCCCGAAGTCACTGCACTGTTCGAAGCTAGGGTCGACGATCAAATGTCTCATCTTACGCCTACAGCCTTAGATTGTAGGAGTTAATAGCAAGTCTGTATCAGACAAAGCAGCCTCGCGCTTTGGAAGGCAGTATCCGACGATTTTATTTAGAATTTTTCCCACTAAGTTTGAATGCTACCACAAACTCACGAATGCTTAAAAAACAGGAGGGTAGCAAACTTCCAGCCTTCTAGGAAAATTTTGAGTAATAAATAGGGCCTAGAAGGCAGCTCACCCTTGAGCAGTTTTATGGTCCCGACTGATCATTTGGGGGAAGTCAATGATAAGGAGCTTAACCTGCTCCGGATCAATCGGCTCGTCTGCTTCATCTTCGTCTGGACCGTAGTTGCCAAGCGTCCCGCCCGTATGAGAAATGCCATTAACAAGAAGGTTGAACTCGTTAAAGTCACCGTGCACTAGACCGGCACGAGTGATACGGTTGAGGATGTCTATGGCCTGTTTG